ATTTAAAACAGTGTTTGGTACATTTTAAGCACTTAATAAATGTAAGTTACTGTTATTATTGGGAAGGAGATGAAAGAGAAAGAAGGAGACTAGTATGGCTCCAAGGTCCCTAACTTGAAGAGTTAATAGATGTTGATGACATTAATCGAGGTATAAAACACAAGAAGAGGAAGAGGTTGTGTGGGGAGCAGAAATTCAGTTTTAAACATGTTAGGTTTGAATTAACTGTAGAACACCCAGGTTGAAAGGTTCAGTAGACATTTTAGAGTGGGAAGTTACGAGCCAGATACGCATTTGGGCATCACCCACACACCAGATGGTTTTTAAAGCCCTGGGAATAAACGAGATCACCCAGGGAAAGGAGGTTGTGAGAAGAAGACTGAACACAAAATGTTAAAGGAACAGTGAGAGAAAGAACGTTCAGCAAAAAAAAGAATGAGGAGGAATCTCAGAGAGGTGAGCCAGGAGGGCGCAGCAACATGGGGCCTGAGTGGAAGAGGGTTTAAAGAAGACATGGACATTCAGTAGAATCCAGTGAACTTGTCAGTCAGAAGGACCTTTCTCAGAGCTAGTTCTGTTGAACAGGGGAGATGAGATGTTGGTAATGTGAAGGTGGGTAGTGAGTTCACAGGGATCCATTTTATTACTCTTTATTATTCTTGGAAACCCTGGTGGCGTAGTAGTTATGAGCTACGGCTGTTAACCAAAAGATCAACAGTTTGAATCCACCAGCTGCTCCTTGGAAACCCTATGCGGCAGTTCTACTCTGCAACACGTAGGGTCTCTATGAGTCGGAATCAACTCAATGGCAACGGGTTTGGTTTTTTGGCTTATTATTCTTAAACCGAATTAAAAAAAAAAAAAAAACTTGTTGCTGTCATGTTGATTCTGACTCATGGCGACCCTATGTGTTGCAGAGTAGAACTGCTCCATAAGGTTCTCATGCCTGTGACTTTTCAGAAGCACATCTCCAGGCCTTTACATACACATATTTTATGCACTCCTGTATGTATAATTCACACACGGAAAACATTAATGATAAGTCAAAAATGTGAATGGTGGATAACCGTGTCAAAATTACGCAGACTTTGAGAAAGTTGGTTATTGCAACTGAAATAGAGAAATAAAGAGTAGCTAAAGGAAGGATGCAGGGTCAGGAAGGGTTTGAGGCTTGAGACTGTTTATAGGTTTGGGGGAAAGAAGCCGGTGGAGAAGGAGAGATATTGATGGAACTAGCTCCCTAAGGACAGAGGAAGAAACAAGATGGAGGGCACAGATGGGGGATCAGCCTTGGCTAGTGTGACATAAACCTCTTCCAGACATACCAGCAGGAGGGAAAGAAGGGTTGGCATAAATATAGATTTGTCCCTGGGGAACATTTAAACCTAATAACCTTTGGTGTTTTTGAAGACATAGGAGTTGAGGCCCCCTGTTGTGACAGGGTGAGAACCAAAGTGAGGCTCACAGACGGTGACAAAATATGGGAATAATATCTGAGAAACCCGGAAGAGGGAACAGACTAGAGCAACACTGGGAGAATCCAGAGTCTTAATTCGGTATTACCACCATTGTACACAGCTTTTCCTAAGTGGCCCAACCATGCGATCAGAAGAGAAACTACAGTGAGAGTTTGCTCCAGAATTGGAGACTTTAAGAGGATTTGTAGTGAACCTAAGAGTATCTGATTCCCATTACGTGGAAGGCCTTGGATAAGCCCAGCTGAGATGTCTGTTTGGTGGTTAGTGTTGGGAGTTGGATATCAAGAGTGATTTAGTATGCCGGTTTTTACCTGAGAGAAGTAGGGCTTGGAGACCCCAAGGAGTGAGCCATCTCAGAGTAGATTGAGGAGAGCCAAGATTCTAATTCTTCAAGACAAATCCAAAGGCCAAAGCTGAAGTCAGGGTTGTGGAGCCAAAGATTCAAGGTGGAGCAAAGATGGGTCAGAAGAAGAACAGGTGAAGAAGGTCTGGTGAAATGCTTGGGATATCCACAACTTGTCCTTAAAAGTCAACGGGGGAATAATGTGTGTGGAGAGGGTGAGGGTTGGAAGGGAGCCGTTAGGCTGGTTTAAAGGGGCGATGTGGCTCACAAGAGGCCTGGAAATCTACTTTTGAAAGATCACATCCGCTGAAAACGCTATGAGCACATGTCTACTCTGAGACACATGAGGTCACCACGAGCAGGAATCAGCTTGACAGCGACTGGTTATTAGTTGGTTGAGCGGTGGTTGGTGGGCAAAGAGAAAGATGCCTCACAGGTAGCTCATCTTGGGATGAGATGAAAGGAGCTGAGGATCCAAAACCGCATGGCAAAAGCCTCAAAGAAGAAGGGATATTGGCATGAGGATGGAGAGCTAAGGGAATGTGGCATCTGCCTCTGTCACGTTGTGTCTGAGGTTGAGTGGATGATAAATAGATGGATAGATTAGAGGGAAGGAGGAAAGGAAGGAAGGAAGGAAGGTAGGAGGGAAGGAAGGAAGATGAGATTATAAGCCTTGGAGGATAGAACTAGGATTAAAGAAGAAAAATGTATAGTGGACACAGCCAGCACTGTTACCCTAACTTTCAGTTCAGTAGATACTCAGTTGAGCATTTGTTCTTGAGTAGCTGTAGGACACACAGAAATGGTATATTTTTTACATTTTTTTACAAAATCAGGCATAAAATGCTACATATATGAGGAGTTCCAATATACAGATGGAATCACTAATATAATTTATGCAAAGTTAACATTGACAGGTTGAGGGTGTATGTGCAAGTCTGATGTCTAATCTTGAGTAATCAGTTGTGTTTATCAATTTTGGCCTCTAAGGATGGAGCCCTGGTGGTGCGGTGGTTAAGAGATCAGCTGCTAACCAAAAGTTTGGCATTTCGAATCCACCAGCCACTCTTTGGAAACCCTATCAGGCCATTCTACTCTGTCCTATAGGGTCACTGTGAGTCGGAATTGACTCGATGGTGATGGTCTGGTTGTTTTTTTGGATCATACAGTCTAAATTGTGTGAGCCACAGGCTGATTGCAGAGGAAGCCACTGCACGGGTGATTATTAGTGGGATACTGTGGATGAGAAATGAACACATAGAAAAAGGAGGAAAGAACAGTCAGTTCACTTGTTGACAGTTGATTACTAACTTCATTCTACATAAGATTTGAGGCCACTTAGAGTAGAAACACACATATCCTAGCCAGTAATTTAAAGCAAAGAGGAAAATCAGAAACTGGAGAAAATGGGAGAGAGAGCTCGATGAGAGAGCCAAGTTGTAGAAAAGGATTAGAAAACCAAAGAAAAACCATTTATGTCTTCATAGCCTTCTTAATGTGGAGCCCCTGGTGGCACAGTGGTTAAGAGCTACGACTGCTAACCAAAAGGTCGGCAGTTCAAATTCACCAGCCGCTCCTTGGAAACCCTATGGGGCAGTTCTACTCTATCCTACAGGGTCGCTATGAGTCGGAATGAACTCGACAGCATCCAGGACAGTACCAATAGCCTTCTTAATAGGGTAGCAACAACCTAGGTAGGATCTGACCAGTTCCTAGACAAGGATAACTCTGAAAATGATGAGTAGTGGCTTGGGTCCAAGCATGGACAAAGACAGATGCCATGCTTGACGCATACTCGAAAGTGCTGCTTAAGAACCTCCTCGAAAGGGACAATGGAGCACTGGCAGATACGTGGGGAGCAGAGGTGGGAGGAGAGAGTGATATAAGAGGTCACTGGATCCTTCGTTGCTTCGCAGTGAGGAAACCTTGGTAACAGAAGAATGGAGACAGGCCACCTCAAATGCATATGCTGCTTAACCCACCTACGGCACATGTGTCATGGTGGGGAGAGAAAATGTCGAGTCAGTAATCTTTCCAGGGTAGGTTTGAACACACTTCTCCCTCCACTCCCTGTACCATCTGGGTTCTGGGAGAACCAGATGGTGAGTTCTGTGCCATCTGAGGTGCTGGGGGAGGAGATTTACCCAAGGAAAGAAGACACAAGACCATGCTTAAGAAACTCTGTCACTTCAAAACCTGACAGAAGCCCTTTTCAACATCCTCCCCTTCCTCACAAAGGGAGGTGAGGAAATGTCTTCACCTAAAAAGAGAGAATTTCTCACTTTTCTTAAAATGGATCAACCACTGATTCTATGCATGTTTAGGGGTGGAAGTGGAAGGAAAGTAACCTTTCCTTCAGAAATAAGATTCAGAACTTATTTATAAACTCCCAGTTGGCTCCCTGATCAATCAGAAATCAATTCAATGTAATTCCACAGTCATTTACTGTATGCAACTATGTATATTCCAGGTGACGGAACTGAAGAATGATCCTGGAAGTGAATAAAACAACCAGTCTCCTTCTCTTTCTCACAGCTTAGTGAAAATGTCTGTCAAAAAGCATAGACGGATTATTGCACATTGAGCTAAAGTTGTATCCTTAATACTGTATCATAACAATGACACCATTTCTCTCTGTTTCCTAAGTGTGATTTGTTTTTTGTCTTCTCCATGAATGACATTTTTATGAAGACCAAAGTGGTGTGTAGAGCTTATTGGAAACTCGTACTTTATCTCTAAGGGTGTAGATAACTCCTCTAATAAAGAGTCTTACAGAAGAAAGTGCTGCGTGCATTCCTTCAAAAACACCCTGTGAATTTTGTGGGATGGAGTCCAAGAGAAGCAGCTCTCTTTGTATGGCATTTTCAATAGAGCTTTTACTACTGAGTTGTCCCTTTGCTCAGGAGCTTAAATCAAGTGCAAATAGGAACAGCCTTGTAGATATTACTAAGGGATAAAAGTTGGATTTGTTAGCTTTCGAATTTTAGGGGGAACAAGGGTGGCTATGGAACCAAAATTGGTAAAATTAGGAAACGAAATCGTAAAAGTAGGTGTCACATCTTTTAAAGCCATTCCTTTCATTCCTCACTGAACATGAGGCATGCTTGTCTAGCCGCTTTATAGTGCTCCTGACTTTCAACACTATGTGTATCACAGTATTGGTTTTCCTCCCCCTTTAGGAGATGACCTGGCTTCCACCACTTTCTGCTATTCAACCACCTGGGAAAGTAGAACCAAGCAAATTTCCATTTCTAAATAAGGTGAGATCTTGCATAAGTCAGGAGAGATATGCTTTACTCATGCAGACATTAATAGTGGACAATGGGTTTACCTTCAATTGTCTCTTTCTCTGTGAATATTCTTGCCAGAGGCACATGGACCTGGTCTTCCACAATTCGCAAGCATATATTCATTCATCTGGGGTTTGGGGATCAAGCCTGGAATCCTAATTACCTACTTACTCTCTGCAAAATGTGATGCATATCACGATTATCACTAAATATAGAAACTTGGCCTCAAATATTATCTAAAGAAACACTTCTTACAAGTAAAACTAATATTTTAGAAAAACTTGATATTCTAGCGTTTCATGTAAATTTTTACAGGCACTATGCATTAATCTTAATGCTTAAATTTGATTTTTCTCTACTTACATATGAGACATTTGTATTACTTAAAATTACCTTATGCTAATATATAAAGATTAGAACTTATTTAAGTTTTGCCAAATAGAGTTATATAGAAATGATTTGTGGGTTTTTAGTAATTTTATTTTTTATTTTGATTTTATACTGTATTTTATTTTACATCTATGTAGCTACATAGCTATATATCGTATGCGTGCATGTATGTATGTGTGTATATACATATACACATATATTTGTATATATAAATATGTATATTTTATTTCATGGACTCAAAAATGCACACTTTTAACATTTTAACGTTTGTGAAATTGAAGTGCATCTCACAATCATTTTATACATTCAGTGTGATGGTGTTTTTTGTTTTTTTACTGAAAAGCTATTATTAGATTAATTATGTATCCTAAAATCATTGTCCTAGAATTGAGGAAATGTGGTATTTATTCCTCCTTGATATCGTTTGAAACACTGAAAATATTTTCTAGGACTTTAATGAAAAATATTTCCATATTTTCGAAGGAAAAGCACACACGAAAATCAGCCACAACATATATTTAAGTTATACATGAGTCTAGTAGACTTTATTTTTTTAATTGTACAACATACAACTGCATACTCATTATAAAAGGTCAAATTATGCAAATGAAGGAGCAAATGGTAAAAGCCCTGGGTATCCTTGTCCTGATCTTATTTTCCCAGCCAGAGATTACTGTCGAGAGTTTGGTGGGTATCACTGCAGTCATTTCTCCTCTGCATTTGTAGAAATATGTATGCTTACTCCGTTTTTTAAAACTATAAATGGCATAAAAATAAAAGATTTTTTTAAGAGTTTATTTTTATTTCCCTTAACATGATGTATTGGAGAGCTTTCCAAGCAAATATGTTGTTGTTAGGTGCCATCAAGTCGATTTCAACTCATAGCGACCCCATGTGACAAAGTAGAACTGCCCCATAGGGTTTTCTAGACTATAATCTTTATGGAAGCAGATCTCCAGGTCTTTTCTCCCACGGAGCCACTGGGTGGGTTCGAACAGCCTACCTTTTGGTTAGCAGCAGAGCGCTTAATTGTTTCCACCACCAGGGCTCCTCCAAGCAACTGTATAGAGATTTTATCTATGCCTTTGAACAGCAACAAAATATTTCATAGTATGAATTTGCCATAATTTGCTCAAACTCCTTTTGGTGCGCTTTGAAATTATATACGGATTGTTGTTATTACAAACACTGTCACAACAACCATTTTTTTGTAACTACTTTTTTGTAAGCACGCTCGTGAGTGTCTCTAGAACAAGAATTGTCCCTTTGGAGGCATCAGAAGCCACGTTTACCCATGACTGTGTTTCAAGAGTACTTTTTTCCCGTCTCTTGCCAGTGTTTCGTATTATCTCTCATTTTATCATTGTGTCTGTCTGAGGGGTGATAAATTGATATCTCATTGTTTTAGTTTGTATTTCCCCGATTACTGATGAATTTAAGCACAGATTGTTTCCGTTTTGCAAATTGCCCGTTCGTATTCATTTCCACTGTTTAAAAAATAATCTCTAGGAACTTCTTATGTATTATTCATTTGTCTATTATATAGGTTGCAATTACTTTCTTGTAACTCTCATCATGTACCTTTTATACTAATGAAGTGTTTAATTCTTATGTAATCAAATCTGTCAGAGAAAAAAGGTCTTCCCTGCCCCAACATTCTAACAGTGTTCTCTATTTTATCCTAGTTCTTTTATAGTTTTTGTTTTTATATTATAAAATTTTTATGTGTATTATATAACATAGGATTCTAATTTTATTCTTTTCCATAGTTAGCAAATTATTATAACACTGTCAACTTATTAACTCATTTTTTTTATACTTGTTTGAAATAGTACCTTGTGTTGACAATTTCTATATTTACATAAATTTCTATAAATACATGGATTTCTTTCAGGAACCCCTATTTATCTAATTCTTTCTCAAAAACTCATTGTTTAAATCAGGAGTCAGCAAATTTTTTCTGTAAAAGATCAGGTAGTAAATAGTTCAGGCTTTGCAGACAGTACATAGACAAATGAATGAGGTTGTGTTCTAATAAAACTTTTTTTACAAAAATTGGTGTTGGCACAATATATAAAGAACGCGTACAACTCAACAGTTAAAAGACAACCCAACTTAAAAGTGAGCAAAGGAGAGAGTTCCAGCAAAATGGCGCTCTAGATAGAAGCACCACGCCGTCCCTCCACAGCAAAGATCCGAAAAACTAAGCCGAACAGAAAGTACAACAATCCTGAAACCCTAAAACATCAAATGAAGAGATAAAGAACTCAGCCAAGCACCAAATGGCATGAGAAAACTGACAGAGAACGGAGAGCGAGGAGAGACTCATGCAGAGGTCCCCTACCAGCTAACGTAATGCGGATCCGCCATCTTGGACTCCTATCGGAGACCAGCAAACGGGGGTACAAGAAAGCAGCCTCACGGAGCATCCAGCGAGACACAAAACAACCGGTAATTTGCGGTGTGCGCTTTCCCACCCCCCACCCCTCTTCACCCTGGCTTGGCCTCGTCTGCTTCCCGCGGCCACGGTCTCTTGACCGGGAAGCGCCGGCTACTTGGATTCCACACACCCAAGCAGGAGGCTCTCTGGGTGCCATTTGTTGGCTGCTGGTGTTGCTTTTTTCCGCTTCTTTTGATTTCTTCCTTGCCTCTCGCCATCTCCCCCTCCTTTTGCTCGAGTGCCTCGCTCCGTGCGCCATCTTTGCTTCTTCCTGAG